TGCGCGGCCGCGCACATGGCAAGAAAACCCCACGCAACAGTTTCTAACTGCCGCGCAGAGATTTCTTTCAAAGCAAACGTGGGGAAGTCCTTTGCAGGCAGCTAGAACTGGCCGCCCGCAAAGGACCTCCCCAGACTTGTTTCAGCGGCAGCTCTCAACCTACAGCAGCAGCGTCACGCAGGCTGTGGAAGGAGGGGGAGGAGGAGGGAACCAAAGAGAGGCTTTTACCGGGCGTGCGCCCCACAGCCAGGACCGTCCTTGCGCCTCAAGCCGCGTTTCTTCCTGCAAAGCCCTTTGGGCAACCCGAGAGTTCCGCCTGATGCCCGAAGGGCTTTGCAGGAAGAAACGCGGCTTGAGGCACAAGGACGGTCCTGGCTGTGGGGCGCCCGGTAAAAGCCTCTCTTTGGTTCCCTCCTCCTCCCCCTCCTTCCACAGCCTGCGTGACGCTGACGCTGTAGGCTGAGAGCTGCCGCTGAAACAAGTCTGGGGAGGTCCTTTGCGGGCGGCCAGTTCTAGCCACCTGCAAAGGACTTCCCCACGTTTGCTTTGAAAGAAATCTCTGCTGCGCGGGGTTTTCTTGCCATGTGCGCGGCCGCGCATCTTAGAGGGAACAGTGGGTGCAATGGGTCAGCAATTAATGACGCTGACCTTTGTCAGCTGGAAAGTTGACAACCCAGGTTTGAGACTCCAGCTCCTGCTAACCTAACAATTTGAAAGCATTCAAATACAAGTAGATAAATAGGTACCACTTTGGTGGTATGGTAACAGCATTCCGTGCACCTATGGTGCATAGTCACTCTGGCTACATGACCACTGAAGTGTCTTCAGACAATGTTGGCTTCCTCAGCTAGGAAATGGAGATGAACACCATCCCCTAAAGTTGGACATGTCTGGATGGGAAATTTTACTTTTACCTTTACTTTTAAAATTTATGAATGATACAGAAACTCTATTTTTCTAATAACTCTAGGAACCAGCTGGCATAAATTTAATGGAGTACAAGAACATATTCTATATCCAAACCTCCATCTGTATATATAAATAAGTTCTGAACTTGTGCACAGAAACGGAATACCTGATAAATGCAATAAAGGAAAGGAAGCTAAACGAGGACTATGCTAAGAAGTGCTTAAGCCACAATAATGAAGAAACAATCTCTTTGCTAGCCTGGTTAATTTGGTGTAATTTGAATCTTAGTAGTCATCACCTCCATCCTCATTAAAGAACATACATACTGGGAAAGCAATTAGGCTAACTCTGTAGCTTGTCAAATTTTTGGTTCGCTATAGAAATATGATGGGTGGCTGGGACCTTTCAGTCTTCAATGCTTCTGAACCTGACTCTTGTAATGCCTCTTGAGAATTTGAGAAAAGCTTTTAGAGAGGAGGGGGGGGACTTATGGAGCCCTATGATGCATTTCAAGAGTTTCACCCTTATGTATTTAGAGTTTAAAGTATGAGATGACGGCTTTACTGATCAAATTCATTGTAATTATATCTGAGTGGTAAGAATCTTTCGATTTTTAGATAGGGTATTATTTTGGAAAAATGCCTAATGGCAAAGACTTTGTAAATCTACCGAGTCATTTCGGTTGCCTTCCTTCCAGTTAATGATATTATTGTATATCACTGATGATCAAGATAAACAATATTTGTTTGAGAGTCATCATTCTGTATGACATTAAGACAAATGTAAGGTGTTCATAAATTATCCATAAATAAATGCAAACACTGACATTTGCAACTGAATATTATAGAGGCCCTTATGATTTATGTTTCCAATCATCAAAGTAAGATAGTGTGAGTTCAAAGAGAGAACTGATCTATAATAATTGATGGATATTAGAAATTTTCAATTTATTGACGTTTAAAATTTGGAAATGCTAGAAATGGTTTTAATTGCGTTTTCAAGGAACAGAATGGGACAACATGCACTGGCTTACTTACCCTACCTTGCCCCAGCTTGCCCTGGCCAACTTGCCCCAACCGACTGGCCATGAGACAACTCGCTGCAAGACAATTCAACATTGGATAACTTAACATGAGATAACTGTACTGTTATATGCCACTCTTTCTTTGATATTATTTTATTTTTTGTCATTCACATTTCATTTTGTCCCAGTACAGTTATCTCGCATTGAGTTATCCTGCACTGAATGGTCCCACAGTGAATTGTCCCACAGTGAGTTGTTCCATGGTGAGTTGGCCAGGGCAAATTGGCCAGAGTGAGTCAGTTGTGATGAGTCATCCGCAGCGAATCGTCTGCAGCGGATCAGCCGTGATGAGTTGGCCAGGGTGAGTGGTCCTAGAACCTCAAGGAAAATGCTGTGGGAAGTGATATTGAATTAATGTAGTTCAATGTTTATGAATTATCATTCCCAGAAGCAGAAATACTAAAAAAGGTGTTTGAAATGTGGAATGTTGGGTATGTACATGAAAAATTCTGGTTGTTCATATCTTTGTGTCATTAAATGTTCTATCTTCTATCACTAGAATAGAATAGAATAGAATAGAATAGAATAGAATAGAATAACAGAGTTGGAAGGGAACTTGGAGGTTTTCTAGTCCAATCCCTGCCTAGGCAGGAAACCCTACACCACTTCAGACAAATGGTTATCCAACATATTTTTAAAACTTCCAGTGTTGGAGCATTCACAATTTCTGGAGGCTAAGTTGTTTCACTGATTAATTGTTCTGTCAGGAAATTTCTCCTCAGTTCTAAGTTGCTTCTTCTCCTTGATTAGTTTCCACCCATTGCTTCGTGTTCAACTATTACATTTCCTGTTTTGTTGTCAATTCAGAAAAAGAAAACAACCTTAAATAGCTTTCTTTTTTCATTATAACCTCTTTGTTCGCCCCTTCCCCTTTTAAATAGGAATTTTATTATTATATCTTAAAAGATAAAAACTAATACAAACTAAAAAAAATAAAAGAATTAAAAAAAAATAGAAAGTGTAAAAATGAAAAAATAGAAATTAAAAAATAAGTATATAATAAAAAGAAAAAAAGAAACATATAAAGAAATCTTTTAAAAAAGTCTTAGCTTATATTAAAACTTCTTTTGCTAAGGACTGAAGTACTATAAAACTTGTCACTCCAAAGATTCTAAATAGCTCCTTTTTAATTATAAGTTAATTATATTCAAAAATGATTAAGAAACGAAGCTCATGCTAATTTTATGTCCGTAAACGGTATTTTACATCAGTGAGCTTGGTGGAAACCCCCTCGCCCTACATCCAACTACTCAATTCATAAACTAATTGCAAGACCTTAGTTCCAGAGGAGTAAGGGGTAATCATCTGGATTGCCAACCTCATGATCACTCTTTCTGGAGCTGGCCACATGACCACGGAGATGTCTTTGGACAGTGCTGGCTCTTCGGCTTTGAAACAGAGATAAGCACCACCCCTAGAGTTGAGAATGACTAGCACATATGTGCGAAAGGAACTTCATCTTTAGCCTCAAAAATCCTGTAATCTGAAAACTTTCCTCTTTGTTGTGTAAGACCATTCACTGGAGTGATGAAGTGATTGAGATGCTTTTTGTACATTGAATGGACACACCATCTAGGAAAGGTGGCATTGCTGTATTAGATGTAGCCCATTACAACTACGGTTAAATATGAGTAAGAGGAATAGTCTTCTCATCTCTTGTGGGAAGAATTTACCCAATGTGACACAAGCATGGGGTGGAGCTAAAAACATGACTTACTGGAATAAAGCTTGTGACCACACCATCACAAGGTAGTATAGCCTAATGTATTTAACAAAGCTTGTGTAGGGAGTGGTAGACAGATTTATTTTTTACAGTGCTATTAATTGCTTAAGCAAATGCAACAAAATTATATTAACATTAAACATTACATTACAAAATGTACCCTAGATTAAGATTCAAATCTTTTCATTTGGAGCTATTTTTACATAGTCAACATTTTCAGTAGGGCAGTCAGAATGCCCAAAGATAGGATTTTTGTGCTTTTTATTTTAAAAGGGTAGAAAAGGAAGATCAGGAGAAAATAAATAGGAGAATTGCAAAGAGTTAGATAATTCATTGAAGACATGAAAGGTAGTACTACTACTTGTGATGACACCATCATGACTTGAGACCTGCAAATCGGCAATGCCAATATGTTGTAGAAATGCATATTCCTATTCTATAACTTACTAAACCCATAGTCTAGTACACATAACGTTCTCACTGGACCTGCATAGAATTGTTGTTTGTAATTAGCTCAGATACAATATTAAAGAAGACTTTCTAAGAGATGAAAGCACACATTTTTCTGATAGGTTCCTGCTTTTAAAGCAAATGACAATACGTGCCTTTGGGAACAAAATCTATTAATTTCTTCATGTTCTGTTGCATAATTGTCAGTCCAGACTAATCCACCAAAATAAAGGAAAGTATACTGTTATGACACAGTGATTAGGGACTGTGATGGAGGATTAAATTCTTATTATTGTAGGTCACATGCTCAGCCAGATACTTAGACTGGTATTGGTATTTTTATCCACCTATTGAATCATTTCCAAGGACCTGGAATAGGCAGATATTTGATAGTGTTAAAGCTATTGTTGAAAGATATAAGCTGTTCCAATTAAAACTGTCTTTTTGCAATTGACTGATGGTGGTTATCTCAACACTGATGGTGCTCAAATGGTACTCCAGATGATTTTGGATTGCACCTAAGGTGCCTATTAAGTGGTGGGTTCCAGATTTTGCTGCAATCGGTACGGTTGCAATGGGGCCCGGGGTAGTCCACATGAATGCGTGCAGCGTGTGCACACATGTGTGCAGTGCATGCATGCATCTTACACTCCAGTGAAGCCTCCACGATGCTCCAGCTGCTTGGTGGAGCATTGTGCAGGCGCTGTACATGCCGTGCACATGCACGGAAGTGCTAAAGACTTTAAAGACAGGTAAGGATGATGGGCGATCGGGTGGGCCCTCTGGAGCACCATACCGGAACGGTATCCGGTGCTCCAGGCAGGCACCAGTATGCCCGTACCAGGGTGTACCACCTGCAACCCACTACTGTGCCTATTACTATTGCTACTATTTTTGATTTTTCCAGATGTTTTGGGAATGCACCTAAGAAGCCTATTACTATAGGTATCACTTTTGTTTTCTTCTGCTACAGTTGTTCTATTTGCAGGTCTTTATATTGTATGATTCCTCCCCCCCCCTAGTTTGTTCTATTCTACTATCCCCAGATATTACCACATCCACTATCCAGACTTTTTTTTATATCTTACTGACAATTGTTAAATCTGGTGTGTTATCTGGCAGGTGTCTGTCAGTTTGAATTCTAAAGTTCCTGAGCACTTTGGCTTCATTATATTCCATTATTTTCTCAATTTAATGATCCCATTAGTTTTTGCTTGCAGGCAAATGGTATTGTTTGCAGTTCTTCTAACTTACTATTTTTGCTCATTTGTTGTGTTGTTGTTTGTAGTCACTCAGTGTGATTTTGCTGCAGCAGTGCTTTACTGGTTTTTTAGGATTTTTTTGCAGAGGTAGCACTTGCTGTCTATTGCTGTTTTCTCAATTCTGGTTTTGTATGCAATTGTTTTTAAGGCTTGGCCTTCTGCAACCAGAATTAGCACCTGTGCCTCTTTTTTTCAACTTTTCTGCTCTTAGCTGATGCCAAGTCTTGTTATTATCTGCTTTACTTGCTATTTTTTAATGTGTTGGCCATATAATATTTCATTATTATTAATAGTAGTATAGTATTATGGTTTATCACGCAGTTAGATGTTTAGATTGGATTCGGCATATTTATCCATCTATTGAGTCCTTTCCAAAGACCTGGAATAGGAAGATTGTTGTGGCTTGATAAGAATTATTATTCTCTGTTCACAACAATATAAAGTCACCACTGCCAGTTCTTTATGTGGTGTTGGCCTTCATGCTCATTGAGTTCTTTCCAAGAACATAGGACGATGTAATGTATGTGTCACATATGCACATTAGTATTATTATCTTGACTTTTTATTTGTAAATCAAAGTGGCAAACATACCCAATACTCCTGCATCTTATAGCCAGTGAGGAGTTAAATTTTCATTCAAGAACAAAATTTATCAAGTCACCTGACATAAATTACAAGCTCGCAACCAGATTTACTCGTAGGATTACTGAGGACACCACGTATATACTGGCTAAACCTAGAATTTCTGGATATGGCCACATTCTAGTCTTGCAGGCATAGTTTAGAACTTCCTGTTTGTAATCTAGACTTCAATTCATTGAAGAATGAAATATATTTCTTATCCCCCCCCCACCACAATACATGCTATTCACAGTAGAAAGATGTAGTTATCTAGGAGACTAATTGAAAACGTTTCTGTGTTAAAAGTGGTTGCATTGAATGTATACCTGTCTCTTTAAGGCATTCTCCTTTCTCTAAGGAATGTCAGGTATGAGGCAGGTAAACACACACCCTGGCCTCTGCTCTAAGTAAATAGGCTCATTACCTATGACTGCATACAACTTTGAATTATTTAATGTTAATCTTCATTTCTTCAGTATTGTTAGCCAATAGGTATGATAACTATTAGTTAATAAAGGAAGACAGCATTTAGAGAGGCCACTCTCATGTTCCTTGCCTATGATTTTATGTGGGAATGGATTTGCTTTGTCTTCACAAAGCAAAATAAAATGTGCTTCTCTAATGCATTTTTCCATTTAAAATTACCTTGGAGAAATAAAAATAAGATTTTCACTTACTGATTAAACAGGTAGTAATACCGACTGACCTGGACTCAGAGGCTAAGCAGAATCAAACCTGATTAATACTTAGTTGGGAGACCACCAATTCACAGAGCTGTGAATTGAACTGGAAACACATGAAATATCTTAGAAGAATTGTTACCATGTTTACCAGAAAAATACCTACGCATGCTCATGAAGTTCCCTGGGTTGAGCTCGATTTGGAAACTTTATAGCAATTAAACCGGGTTAGAGTCTACAGCAGTATTCATTAACCTGGTGCCCTTTGGATATAATCCTCAGCCAGCTTGGCTTCACTGTTCATAAAAAGATAAGGAACTGGTCATGCCTTTGGAAATTTTCAGAAATAGCTTACAATGAGGGATCCTTGGTACTCTCTGAGCTTGCTTGTTTTCTTGCAAACATTTCATTAACCTAACCACGAAGCATCGGTGCTAGTAAGGAATGCTGTTTGCTATCAGTCTATATTCTGGGTGTTTTGCCTGTCTGTTTAGGTGAGAGGTGGTTTTAGGAATACTTTGGTTGGGCTACTTACTAATGAGTCTGATGGCAATTTTTTTGATTGGGGTATTGCTTACTTGATTGTTGGTCTCAAGTTGGAGGTTCATCTTTGCTGAGTGCTGATTACTGGTGAAGAGGTGCTGGAGATTTTTTCCCTTTTTGATTGGTTATCTTTTTTTCCCAACCAGCGTAGTATTACAAGTAATAGGACAATTGACCCTAATTTAGAAAATAATGCTTAGATTATTTTGCGAATATCTTCAGTGTTTGAGAAGGGAGATACGAAGCAGGTGGGTAACTTCTGCCTTTTAGGATTGATTGTGAACAGTGAAGAAACCAAAAATGAAGAAATACACTGCAAGCCTGTAGTTGGTAATAATGAAGTCTTGGAAAGGTATTCAGAAGTTGTGAAAGATCAGAAAATGTGCAACTCATCATTTTCCTTATGGTGCTTTATGGAAGTAAAAGTTGAACTTTGAAAAACAGAATAGAAAGAGCATTAACGCTTTTGAACTTTGTTGTTCAATGACTCCCTAAGAATTTCATGGATAGTTAAGAAAACAATCAAATGGTTCATAGAACAAATCAATTCAGAGTTTTCACTTGAGGCAAAAATGAAAAGGCAGCCCAAATTGTCCTTATTTTGAATACGTAATGTGAAGGCCTAACTCTGTTAAGAAATCTATCATGTTGGGAAAGGTATAGGGAAACTGAAGAAGGTGACTACAAAAAGATTGTGAATTTGATTACAGTGGTGATTATAAAACATGAACAACCACTTAGAGACAGATCAAGCTAGAGAAGGTGTATTTGTGTGATTGCTAAGAGTGGACAGTAATTTTATGATGCATAATCACCAACACCCCATGTAAATCAGGTTTGTAGGAGTACTGTACTGGTAAGTACTTTCAGGTTAAGGACGTGCTCATTAATTATATACCCATAATTCCAGAGAATTTCATTGGTGTGAATTTGGACACTTTTGTATGCATAGTCATGAGTTGCTGCTACAAAACAACAACAGTCATTTCATGAACGTATTCAGTGAGCATTGTGTGTGTGTGTGTGTGTGTGTGTACATACATACATACATACATACATAAATATCTACATACATAAATATAAAGTTATACAAAAAATGAAAATGTAAAAAAATAAAACATTTCATATTTCTTATCCTTATCCCAAATACGTTTTGACATTGCATAATATATATTATTTTGTTTTCTTTTTATCCTAGAGCTCTTGAATCATACAGATTGCTTTCTTATTTAACTTGATATGCCTAAAAAAGATTTATGGGTAGGAATTGTTGAACCAGATCCCACACCAACTGTTGACAGTGCAGGCAGCTGTGACAGTGTGATCAGCAACAACTCCAGTTCCTTTGAAATGGTAATACTTTATTTATTTGTACATTTATTTATTTTTAAAGTTGTGTGGTATCTATTGCTTTAATGGCACTGGATAATTTGTATGGTATAGTAAAAAATATCCCTTATGGGTATTATCAAATAATACTAGCTTATTGTATATAGATTTAATATTATTTATGTTTGTAATTTGCTTACAGTTGCCTCAAAGCGCGAGGGGTGACAAATAAATCTAATAATAAATACAAAATGATATTTTAAGGGGACATTACTTGTATATTTTAAATATAGGCTAAGAACTGGAATAACCAATAATGCCCCATCAATTGATTCATGTCCTTAAAAATGTTAAAATGGTATCTACTTAAAAATGATTCATGAAAAAAACATGTCTAGGGTGTATTAAATAATATATTTGACCCATATGATAATCATGAGATCATCAGGTATCTTTTTGGAATAATGTGTTAATGTATATACATTTTTAGGAAACCCTTTAAATCCTTAAATCTTAAAAATGGTAATAAGGTAGTGAACTGTACTCCAAAACTGAGTATTTAACAAGAATTATGGTTGTACAGATCATGAGATAGAGTAGTAGCTAAAAGAATAATACTGAGAAATTAGAAAAGTAACATTCTAAGTGTTGAGGAATGATTGCCAGAAATAGGTGGTGTATTGTATTAAACCACAACTGACATTTAATCATTTTATTTCAATTAATTTATAGTTTGTCCAATTGAACTATTTTCAGCTATAGTGGTTGCAGAAAACAAACAAACAACAAACAAACAAACAAATGTATGCTCCGTTTTGACAAAAAGTTAGAATTTTATTGACGGTTAGAATAAGGTGACCAGACGTCCCGCATTTGGCGGGAGAGGCACGCTTCTTCAAAAATTTTCCCGCGTCCTGGGCCGTTGTCAAAAGATCCCGCTAGCCGGCGCAAATGGGGTGGGCTGCAAGAGGGAGGGAGGGAGTCTGGATTGCTGCAAAGCAAGTCTTGGGAAGTCCTTTGCGCCGGCTAGAAAAGGTCTTCACTTGCTCCCTCTTCTTGCAGCATGCCCCGATGCGAAAAACGCCGAGATCGGCGCACTTGGGGCTACTGCTGCTGCGACGTCCAGGGAGGCTCAGCTGGTCTGAGTAGGCAGGGCAGGGGTAACGCGGTGCCCAGCTCAGGTGCTCCGAGCAGAGGGGGAGCCCTCCCACAGAAGCCCCTGGAAAGCTATACAAGTGTCCTAAACGCACATCAAGAATATGGACATCTTGTGGCAAT